GAGTACATTCAGCCGGCTGCCCCCTTGAGCGCTCCTCCGCCATCCACTGGCAATCTCCAGTACATGGTGACTGCGGGTCCCGCAACGACGCTCTCTGCGCCCAATGCTCCTCTGCAGCTCGCACCTTCCACTCACCCTCCACCAGTGCTGCCGCCTCCGCCTCCGCCCCGGCCTCCCGCCGTTCCCGGCGCAAGCACAATTGCACCTGCGAGAGTAGGGCAGACCGCGGATGCCAGCAGGATGGGCGCCTTCGGCCCTGCACAGGCGAACGCGGCGGACGCATCCGCTGTCGCCACCACAAGTGCGCAGGTAATCAGCGGAGCTGTCGGCTCCCTCCATGGCGGGAGCGGCAGTCTTCATCCCAGCGGCATGGGGGGAGGGGGGGCGCTCTACATGCCTAGCACGGCTACTGCAGGCAATCAACAACAACACATGGGCGGTGCCGGCCGCATGGGAGGTTATGGCGGCGGGGAAGGGCAAGGGACTGCTGCTGCTGCTCTTCCCGCCTCTGCCTCTGCAGCACCGCCAGCAGCTGGAGTTGGAGAGGGAGGGGGGGGCGGAGCAGCAGCAGCAATGGGAACGACAACAGCGGCAGCGGCGGCCAAACCCCCGCCACCACCTGGTACCTCTCTTCCCCCACCATCAACAAGCGGGAGAAGACAAGAGACGGAAGCAGAGAGGGCGGCGAGAAAGAAGATGGAGTATGAGAAGCGCAAGGAGGAGGAAAGAAGGAAGGTCGAATATGCGAAAAATCATCATAGGCATCATCATCAGCAACAGCAACACTACAGTCAGCATCATCATCATCGCCATCATCAGCAGCAGCAGGGGCACATGTCCCATCAAAAGCCCTCCCATTCAGTAGCCGGAGGAGGAGGAGGAGGAGGAGGAGGAGGAGGAGGATCTTCTGCAGCTCAACAGGATAAACACCGAGCAAGCACGGGCAGCAGCGGGCAGTCGCGGTCGCTGACGCTGCCATCGACAGCAGGAGGAGAAGGGGAAGAAGCTGGAGCTCTGACCACAATACCGGAAGGGAGTGTAGCAGCTGCGGAGATTGGGGGGGGAGTAGGAGTAGGAGAAGACATAGGAGCAGCAGCAGCAGCAGCAGCAGTTGTTCTCAAGTCATCAGAGAGGCAAAGGAGAGATGGTCATTCCCGCGAGCGTTATCGAAGTGGAGGAAGTCGCCACGACGATCACCATCAGTATCGTCATCGTCACTATCAACACCGGCACGGGGAGAAGGGTGGTGGCTCCTTAGCTCCGCCTACTCTTGAACCCAGAGTGGAGAATCGGTTAAAGCGGCAGTCTACCTTCGTCTGCAAGGTCCGCTTCCAGAACGAGTTGCCGGAGCCCATCTCGCACCCAAAGCTGCTTCACGTGGCAATGGGAAGGGACAGGTACACGAAGTACTCCGTGACATCCTTGGAGAGGAGGTACAACCATAGGCTGGTAATGGAGCCGGACCTCGGGATACCGTTGGACCTGCTAGATCTGACCTCTTACAATCCACCACGTGTGCGGCCGGAGATGGACCCGGAAGACGCCGAGCTGATCAGAGACGACATGCCAGCCCGCTCGTCCGCCATCGTGGTGAAGGAGCGCCCCGTGGACAAGGGGATGAATTGGCTAGTGAAGACGCAGTACATATCGCCTGTGGGACTTGAACCCGCAAAGGTGCCATTGACAGAGAGAGAAGCGAAGCAGAAGAGGATGTCGAAGGAAGGTATCATGGCGGACATCGAGGCTCACACGAGCATAGAGAAGCAGATTCGAGCAATAGAGGAATCGTTTGAGAAGGCGAAGACGAAACCTGTGCATCAGACGAAGGATGTGTATGTGGAAGAGATATGGCCGCTCTTGCCGGACTTTGACAGGTGGCCTGACACCTTCGTGCACTTGACATTCGATGCGGATCCCACCGCAGACTGCGTCAGTCATCTTCATCTGGAGCCCAGCGAACACCAGGAGCTGCAGGCTCGTGCCATCTTGAAGTTCACCGACATGGGAGATGGGAGGATGGAGAAGGTGGTGGCATACATGGCACCGTCGGCGGAGGCTTTTGAGAGGGATCCCGACGCCGACCGGATGGATTACACGTGGGTCAGAGAGTACACGACCCAGTCCCGACCCGATGACAGCGGCCGGGAGCAGTACTTGTTCTACTTCGACGACGGCCGCGTCACATACTTGCCGCTGAATAAGATGAAGGTAACCCTGCAGAAGAAGAAGGTAAAGGAAGGGAGGACGATGGAGAAGGAGGAGGAGAATGAGATACCTATTCCGTCTAAAATCACTGTGAAGAGACGCAGAGTGAGGTATGTGGACGACGAGCAGAGACATAGCCAGAGGAGGAAGCTGATGGAGGATAGCACGGAGATAGCGCAGGAGGGAGCGGCGGCTTTCGCACCAGTCGAGCGGGAGGAGGAGGAAGAAGAAGAGGAGGAAGAGGAGGACGAGGAGCTCTTGAGACCTTTTGCAAGGCAGGAGGAGAATAGGGGTGGGGAAGCTATGGAGGAGGAGGAGGAGGAGGAGGAGGAGAGGAAGGGGGATGGCGAGGAGCACATGGAAGCAGAGGGAGAACCGGAGGAGAGAATGCGAGAGGAGGGTGAGGAGGAGATGGAGGGATACGAGGAGGAGAGGAGGACGGGGAGAGAGGAGGGGGATGGAGAAGAGGAGGAAGAAGGCGTGGTCAGGAGGGAGCCGGCTGAATATGAGGAGGAAGGTGAACCGACCGGGAGAGAACGGGACGAAGAACACGAGGAGATGGCAGAAGGCGAGGAGAGAGAGGAGGGAGAGGATGATCAGGAAGGCTATGGCGGGCATGAAGGTGATGAAGACGATGGGGGCGAAGGTGAAGGGCGCAGCAGCCCACACGAGAGGGAGAATAGGGAAGATCTGGAAGAGGAAGAGGAAGAGCAGGAAGAAGTGCAGGAAGAGGAAGAGGAGGAGGAGGGGGAGGAGGAGGAGGAGGAGGAGGAGGAGGAGGAGGAGGAGGAAGAGAACTTCCGGGGTCGTTCGCGTTCTGCTACCCCTGATGGCTCAGAAGACTACGACGATGTGGACACTCGTCGCTACGACTAACCCAAGCCTGGGTTTAATTGTTTGGGGGCCGGGGAGGGGGCGGATGGTAGAAATGCAGGTAGATCCACTAGACAGACGAGTCGGCCTGCCTCGTAGAGGGAGTGTTTGTAACACACACACACACACAC